CTCCAGTCTCCTCTGTCCTCTGTCCCAGCAAGAATACTGGGGTGATTTGCCATTTCCTACTCCAGGGAATCTTCCTGACCCAGGGATTGAACCTGTGTCTTCTGCATTGGCAGGCGGATTCTTTACCACTGAGCCATCCGGGAATCCCAGATTTCCATTAGAATTCTTTAAATTTCTTACCTAGTTCAGCAGTATGATCTGAAAGTTATTAAATGTTGTCCATATTATTTAACTTACCAAATAATCCTAGTTAGAGCTTCCCTAATAGCTCAGTGGGTAAAGAATATTCATGCAGTGCAGAAGATGCAGGAGACATGGGTTCGATCCCTGGGTCAGGAAGATCCCCTGGAGGAGGAAATGGCAACCCGTGGACATTCTTGGGTTCTTGTCTGAAAAATCCCATGGACAGAGGAGCCTAGTGGGCTACAGTCTATGGGGTTGCAAAGAATTGAACCTGACTGAGCAACTAAGTAAGAGAAATCCTAGTTACTTCACTATTTCTTCTGAGTGTCTAGGAGCCCTTTGGAATACTCCAAGTTAGCTCGAGAAGGAAACTTGAAGCCTGTTATCCAAAGCAGCTTGATATTCTAGGAAACTTTTGGGGAGAACAAAAACCAAATTCTAGTCTTATACCAGCTTACTATTAATAACAAAGATTCATTTAAATCCAATCTAATCTTAAATCACTCCTGACAGCATACAAAATTCTTTTCTCAGAGTCCCCCCTCCACTTTTTTCTGCAAATCTTTCGTCACTTTTTGTATCCATATGATTCATCCCTTATTTTTCTCCATCTGAAAACAACTAGCTCTAGGACAAAACTATTATCATAATTTTTTCTTCAACAAAAATATCTGCATTCTTTATACTTTTTCTCATTGACAACAGATATCCTATTTGCTTTACAGACTGAAATGCTTCATTTTTAGTAGCTTTCATCACATATTTCAATTTTTAACCCATAAAAACCTTAACAAAGCCAAGAAACAAGTAATTAAACTGTATGCCAGCATTTACTGATTGGCAAGCTTAAGAACATATTCCATAACCTCTAACAACTTACATTTTTCTCATAACCTAATTTCTCTTTAATATGGTACAAGATGCATGTTTAATAAACCCAACATCTTTTGAAGTTCTGCTAATTAACCCAAGGCTGAAGTCTTAGGCAAAGTGGACTTTGTATTTCAAGGACATGATGAGACTTAACTTCAAGTTTTCTCCAAGGCGTATTTTTGGTCTCTCAGAATTTTGTCAGAATTCTGAAAACAGTATTCTACCAAGCTAGCTTTTTCTAACTACATATGCAAAAAGAACAAGAAGAATTTCAAAATTCTTTTGGAATTTCAGAAGAGTTTCATCTCAACCAATTTTCTCCAGAGTCTAAAGAATACTATTGTCATATATTATTTAAAAAATTATCTTTGAGACTTTCAGTTCAGTTCAGTTCAGTCTCTCAGTCTGACTCCCAGTCTCATTCTTTGTGACCCCATGAACCGCAGCATGCCAGGCCTCCCTGTCCATCACCAACTCCCAGATCCTGCTCAAACTCATGTCCATCGAGTCAGTGATGCCATCCAACCATCTCATCCTCTGTCATCCCCTTCTCCTCCCTCCTTCAGTCTTTTCCAGCATCAGGGTCTTTTCCAAGGAGTCAGTTCTTCGCATCAGGTGGCCAAAGGATTGGAGTTTTGGCTTCAGCATCCATACTTCCAATGAATATTCAGGACTGATTTCCTTTAGGATTGATGGGTTTGATCTCCTTGCAGTCAAAGGGCCTCTCAAGTCTTCTCCAACACCACAGTTCAAAAGCATCAAATCTTCAGCACTCAGCTTTCTTTATGGTCTAACTCTCACATCCATACATGACTACTAGAAAAACGGTAGCTTTGATTAGAGGGACCTTTGTCAGCAAAGTAATGTCTCTGCTTTTTAATATGCTGTCTAGGTTGGTCATAGCTTTTCTTCCATGAAGTGTCTTTTAATTTCATGGCTGCAGTCACCATCTGGAGTGATTTTGGAGCCCAAGAAAATAAAGTCTGCCACTGTTTCCATTTTTTTCCCTTCTATTTGCCATGAAGTAATGGGACTGGATGCCATGATCTTCATTTTCTGAATGTTGAGTTTTAAGCCAACTTTTTCACTCTCCTCTTTCACTTTCATCAAGAGACTCTTTAGTTCTTCACTTTCTGCCATAAGGGTGGTGTCATCTGCATGTCTGAGATTATTAATATTTCTCATGGCAATCTTGATTCCAGCTTGTGCTTCATCCAGCCTGGCACTTCTCATGATGTACTCTGCATATAAGCTAAATAAGCAGGGTGACAATATATAGCCTTGACATATTCCTTTTCCAAATTGGAACCAGTCTGTTGTTGCATGTCTGGTTCTAAATATTGCTTCTTGACCTGCATACAGGTTTCACAGAAGGCAGGTAAGGTGGTCTGGTATTCCCATCTCTTGAACAATTCTGAGACTTTACTGGTGATCCAATGGTTGAGACTGTGCTTCCACTACAGGGGGCACAGGTTTGATTCCTCATTGGGGAACTGGGATCCCACATGCCACATGGTGTGGCCAAATAATTTATCTTTTTCCTAAAAGTACAAATTAAAATGAACAAAAAAACTTTATCTTTTTCTTTTAGTGACCTCATTGCTAAAACTTTTCTGTTCACACGCATGGAATATGCACTCACACACCAGAAGACAGAACTGTCACAAATCTTCCAAGAGGATGGCATGGAGTCCCAAATAAATACTTTCCCAACACAAATTGTCCTCAGCTTCAGACACATGTCAGAACCAATTGGCAAAATGTCCAAATAGCACGTCGAGCTGAAAAGAGAAGTTTGCCTGGGTGCATACTGGTGGACTTACTCAGTCTTGGAGCCTGTCAGCTGGTCTAGATGCCTGTTTCCGTTCCACCAAGGAAAAACGTACATTGGCAGCCAGTGCCGAGTAGGGGAGAAATAGGGCAGATCCCCAAAACAAATGGTTTCGGCAGCTGCTAGGAACATCCCCCCAAACCCACCTCCTGGGGCCAGCTGGCCACAAGCAGCGGGCTCCTCACAGCCGCCCCAGTGTGTGGTCATGGGAGGACCCCCCGGGAGCCAGGCACTGTGAGTGCAGCGGCCCCACAGTGGGTGCCAAAAACTGTTGTCAAACATAGGGGTCTGGCTGCTTGCTGCTCTTAAGACAGTAAAGAGGCAAGGTTGGTGGAAAGGAAAGGTTGCCATATTTCAGAGCCAGCAGACTGGCAGGGAGGGCAGACTCCTATCCAAAGGCTGACTCCTCACCCCCGACAATCAGTGGGGAAGAGCTTTTATAGGTGCAAGGAGGGGGCTGCTTGCAGAAACAACACAGGCAGCTCTGACAGTCATCTTGAAGTTGGTCATGTGGTGGTCTGATCAGTGTCATCTTGATTGTTTTAAGTACAGTTAATCTTCAGTACCAGGGTCAGGTTATTCCCATTTCTTCGAGGCCAGCTCTTGGAATTGTGGCAGCTTCGGTCATGGCTGCAGTGAGTGTCTATAAGACAGCGCACAGGATATGGCTCAGAGTGTTATCTATAGCCCTTGAGGGGGAGCTATACGACTTTGACTTTGCTTAAAGCCTAAACGATTATTATTTAGTCTTGTTGGACTTGCTTAGTCTTGTAGACTTTCAGTCTTGGTTCTGCATTTTCTCGTTTCTCTCATTAAACTGATTCATTGACTGGAGTTTTTCCACAGACAGAAGGCAGGCTGAGGACATGGGGGTCAAGGATCAGAGGGTCCTGCTCCATTTCAGGGTCAGGCCCGTCCTGGACTCACTGCCCCTTTGAAGACCCTGGCTCTCTGTGTCCTGTCTCCTGACTACTGAGCCATGCTTGTTAGAGGTGGCAGTGAGGGCTGGGTGGGGGTGGGAGTCGGGCAGCGCCTGGCCCAGCCCGGGGGCAACACACGGCCTAGATTGGAGAGCCGTGATGCCTGCCGACAGATCCAGGGCACACGGAGCCACCCCAGTGTCTGCACAGATTGCAGTGGCCTGACCTGTGGGCCTGAAGCCCCATGTACAGGACTCTCAGCAGACACGTAAGTGGCTAATGGAGGCTTTGAGACTGGGCACCAGGGCAGCCAGAAGGGCATTTCTAGGAGCCCCTCAGCTCAGAGGACTGAGGAGGCACTGAGCCTGGGCACGAGCCGGGAGGTGGCCTGCTGCCAGCTTCCCGACGGACTTGGGTCCAGGCGCCAGGTGGGGCTTCAGGGAGATTCTAGGGGCTGAGACCAGGGGTTCTGCATTGATTGGGGATGGCGAGGCAGGGCGGGGAGGAGGAGCTGAGGTGGGTCTGTTGGGCCTGGTGCAAGGATTCAGCTCTGCCAGGTGGGCAGTTCCTAGGGGGCAGATTGAGAAGCCTTCTGGGGTTCATTTGAGCCCCAGGGGGCCCTAACATGGTGTGCAGTCCTGGGGAGGGGGTGCAGGACATGCACAAAAATAAATGTGGTTTCTGGCTTTGAGGGGCTGTGTGTGTCTATGAAGCAAACCGCAGATTTATATAAAGCAAATATGCAATTATGTGGCCCGAGGTTTTATCTCTAAGAGGCCAGGAGCATAAAACCAGCTGGGGACAGCATGGTTCTGGTGGGGAGAGGAGGCAGTCTTCTTAGAGGAGGTGCCCACACTGGATCTGGAGGACAGACTTGGGGGAAGGGGAGGATGGGAAGGATATGGAGTGAAGGGCTCGTGGAGGAACAGCTGTGGGGTGGGCACGAGGGGTGCCACCGGATGGATATTAGGGTTACCCTGGGGACGAGGAGCCGGTCTGTAGACGGGAAGCCCCCAGCCAACTCAAGGCTCATGCCTGTGGAGTCCCCATAGCCCGTTAGGGCCCTGGGCCTGGAATGGGGCACCTGGGACGCTTCCCTCACCTCCAGGGGTCTCTCTCCTGCCCTCCTAGCGCGTGAGCAGCCCGCGCGCTGACCGCCACTGCCCACCTGTCCGCCGCACCACTGCCGCACCATGTCTGGCTCTTACGACGAGGCCTCACTAGCTCCGGAGGAGACCACTGACAGCTTCTGGGAGGTGAGTCTTAGGTGCTCCGCGGCTCCCAGGCACCCGGCAGCCTGGCTGCGTGGAGACCCAGGCTCCCAGCCACCCACAACCTCAGCCCTTGCCCCTTAGCCCTTGGGGCCCCTCGGAAGCCCTCCATGTTCAGCAGGTGGTGGTTGCCATGAAGTGGTGCCTGCAGACCACCGCTGACCCTGCAGAGACCCTGTAGAATTCAGTGTGGAGCAGGGCCCTCCTGACCCTGCCCTGGGGGCCCTGGCTCAGACTCCTGTCCGCAAGGAGCTCACAAGGGCAAGTGCTGCACTTTACAGCTTCCTGGGGTTTCACAGCTGTGCCCCCCCAACCCTGTGCCATGGGCAAGGGGTGGGGCACTGGTGCCAACTGCCCTGGGGACCCCACAACCAAGAGGCGGAGACAAGCCAGCATTGCTGGAGCCTCCCAAAATATTTGAGACCCAGAAAGGCATTTTCCATTGGCTTCCAAACCCCAAAGCGCCACAAACTGCCAAACCTAAATTAATAAGTGTTTAATGAGATGTCTACAAAACATAATATTATGTCAAGAAGCTGCAGCTCAACTCAATGCTTATATGACTCTATATAAATATAATAGATTTAGCACGGCAAGAACAGAATGAATAATTCATCTGAGTCCAAGTCCAAATTATAAATATTCTTCTGCACTTGGTGACAGCCAGGAAATTCTGTTTAAAGCGGGACGGAGAGAGTCCAGACGGTGGGGTGTGAGGCGGGGTGTCCGAGCCTCCCAAAGCGGGAGGGCTCGGACCCCCAGAGCATTAGAGCGGGGCGGCCCGGGAGACCTGGCGGGGCGCCTCCTGCAGGACGCGGCGGCCAGGGAGGGCGGGCGGCCGGGCGGAGGGGGGGGCGGGGGCCCGCGGGAGTCGTGCTCGCTGCTCCGCCGCCAGGTGGGGAACTACAAGCGGACAGTGAAGCGCATCGATGACGGGCACCGGCTGTGCAACGACCTGATGAGCTGCGTGCAGGAGCGCGCCAAGATCGAGAAAGCCTATGCGCAGCAGCTCACCGACTGGGCCAAGCGCTGGCGCCAGCTCCTTGAGAAAGGTGCCCCCTCTCCCCTCCGTGCCCGGCCCGGGTGCACACCCAGGCGCTAACCAGCCCTCCACTGCCCAGTCCCGGGAGCACCGCGCTCCTGGATGCTCCTGCAACCTCCCATCACTGGGTCTTTGCGGGTGCCGGCCCCTCCCGTGCACTCTTCCCCTCCCAAACTACCCAGGTCTCCCTGTCCCTGATCAACTCCACTTTCTGCAATTTTGGATTGGATTGGGGGGAAAAAAGACTTTTTTTTTTTGGTTGCGCCACGGGGCTTGCAGGATCTCAGTTCCTTGATCAGGGATTGAACCCCAGGTCCACCAGGCAGTGAAAGCCTGGAATCCTAATCAGGAGGCCACTAGGGAATTTACAAAACTTTTTATTTTGCAATAATGTAAGCTTAGAGAAAAACTTCTAGAATAGTACAGAGAATTACCTACCTTTCACCCAGACTCACCAGCTCATATTTTATCAGGTTTGTTTTCTCACACCCTCTCTATTTATAGGCATGTCTTTTCTGAGCCATTTAAGTTGGAGACATGCCCCATCACCCTAAATCCTTCACCGTATTGCTGAAGAATAAGGACATTTGTTTATGTAATCATAGCTCAACTGTCAAATTCAGGGCGTTTAATGTGGCCCACATACAAATGTTATGGTAGCTGTTGTTTGCCCTGGTCCAGATCCGGTGGGTTGTCTGGGTCCAGTGGCTTCCTGTTACGTTACCAGTTCATTCTTCACTTTTACATTTCCGTCTACATTCCTGGAGCACCAAGAGCTGGCCTGTGAGAACTCATGGGGTCCAGGTTGTCCCCCATGGGGCTCACAAGCTAATGAGGGAGACAGGGAGCAGGCCCAGAGGCAGATGCTACATATAAGAAGAATTCATAAGGGCTGCTGGCCGAGCTATGTGAGGATAGAGTATTCAGAGAAGGCTTCCTGGAGGTGGTGGCTGTTCTTGGGCTGTTCTGGAGGATGGATAAAATTATCGGAAGAGCAGAGGAGGGCGTTCCTGCTGCCATGGGAAGTATGGGGAAAGCCTCAGAGAAAGGAGGCGTGAAGGGGGTCCTCTGGGCAGGGGGTGATGAGGACCTGGTGGCCCCCCGGCCGTTTCCCCAGGCCCACAGTATGGGAGCTTGGAGCGGGCCTGGGGTGCCATAATGACGGAGGCCGACAAGGTGAGCGAGCTGCACCAGGAGGTGAAGAACAGCCTGCTGAATGAGGACCTGGAGAAGGTCAAGAACTGGCAAAAGGATGCCTACCACAAGCAGATCATGGGCGGCTTCAAGGAGACCAAGGAGGCTGAGGATGGCTTCCGCAAGGCCCAGAAGCCCTGGGCCAAAAAGATGAAGGAGGTGCCTGGTGGGCGGGCGGCTGCCACGGAGGGGGCGAGGCCGGGCGGCAGGGCTCAGGGGGCAGACTGAGCCAAGAGAGGGCATCTGCAGATGCCGCGGGCAGAGCGCTGCCCCCTGGGATTGTGCCCACGGGGAGCAGCACTGTCTGCCAGGAGGATGCATGCACAGATGGGCCCAGCAGTGCAGGGTCATATGCGCAGGTGGGTGGGCACTGCCCCCGAATACCTGGAGCCGGGGCCTGCACCACTTCTGCCTTTTAAGGGCGTATGCACGTAGCTCCCGGCGGAGTGGGCAGGAGCGACGGGTGGACAGTGATCTCGTTGACTCCTGCGTGCGAGTAGGCGCCCTGCCCCCTCACCTCCCTCCCCACAGCTAGAGGCAGCCAAGAAGGCCTACCATCTGGCCTGCAAAGAGGAGAAGCTGGCCGTGACCCGGGAGATGAACAGCAAGACGGAGCAGTCAGTCACACCCGAGCAGCAGAAGAAGCTGCAGGACAAAGTGGACAAGTGCAAGCAGGATGTGCAGAAGGTGCTGGCCGGGCCGGGGTCTCGGGGCGCCGTGGAGGGGGTGGCAGCGGGGAGCTGCAGGCCTGGGTCTCACTCCCGCTTTGCCTTGGTGCCTGTAGACGCAGGAGAAGTATGAGAAGGTGCTGGACGACGTGGGCAAGACCACGCCCCAGTACATGGAGGGCATGGAGCAGGTGTTTGAGCAGTGCCAGCAGTTTGAGGAAAAGCGGCTGGTCTTCCTCAAGGAGGTGCTGCTGGACATCAAACGCCATCTCAACCTGGCCGAGAGCAGCAGGTAGCTGGGGGGCGTGGGGCGGGGGCGGGGGCAGCAGGGCTTCCCAGGCAGGAAGGGGAGGGCAGGGCCGCAGCGGCCGGTGGCTGCCTGGGTGAGTGCTGACGCACGCCAGATCCTCAGGACAGGTGCTTGGATGGATGGGTGAGCGACTAAGATGGGGATGGAGAAGGGTGCCCACAGGGCATGCCTGGAGCTGCCCACTCAGAGATTGTGCTTCGAAAGCCACCTGATTCCTGGCTGCCAGCACCTGGTCCTCTGGATGGGCTTCGGCCCTCACCAAAGCTGGGGTGCATCTTGCCCTGAACCGCCCCATCTCCCCCGCGCACAGCTACGTCCAAGTGTACCGGGAGCTGGAGCAGGCCATCCGGGGTGCTGATGCCCAGGACGACCTCAGATGGTTCCGCAGCACCAGCGGCCCTGGCATGCCCATGAACTGGCCCCAGTTTGAGGTGAGGATGTGTGGGGATGGGGTAGAGGGATCCAAAACCGCTGGAAGGCGCTTCGGGGGGCAGCCCCCCAGCCTGACTGCTCCCCTGGTGCTCCCCTCAGGAGTGGAACCCAGACCTCCCTCACACCGCCGCCAAGAAGGAAAAACAGCCTAAGAAGGCAGAGGGGGCAGCGCTGACCAATGCTGCTGGTGTGGTGGAGTCCACGTCTCAGGCTGGGGACCGTGGCAGGTGAGTGCCTCCTACGGAGCCGCCTGGGGGGGCCCCCACACTGGGGGCCACTGAGTTTTACCTTAGGAGACAAGAAATGGTTTTAATCAGGACAACCTAGTGCTCCTCTCAGAGACAGTGGTAGCCAGTCTGTGAGAGCACCTACCGTGTGTGAGGCGCTGTGCTAAGCATTTGCCGTAAATTATCTCACTGAAGTCTCCCAGCACTCTGAGGAGTATGTCAATATCCCCATTTTACAAATAGAGAAACTGATACCCGGAGAGGGTAAGTGACTTGCCCAAGGTCACACAGCTGGTTTAGTAAGCCTCAGAGCCAAGATATGTTGCCCAAGAGGTCTGGCTCCAGAATCCTCACTCATTAAACACATACATATATATATAGGGCTTCTCTGGTGGCTCAGTGGTAAAGAACCCACCTGCTAATGCAGGAGCCTCAGGTTCAGTCCCTGGGTGGGGAAGATCCCCTGGAGAAGGAAATGGCAACCCACTCTAGTATTCTTGCCTGGGAAATCCCATGGACAGAGGAAGCTGGTGGGCCATAGTACATGGTGTCACAAAAGAGTTGGGCATGACTTAGTAACTAAAAATGAACCTGGGCTCATCTCTTTCTTTTTTTTTCTTCTAGTTTTAATGAGAGATGATTGACATATGGCACTAAGTTTAAGGTGTACAGAATAATGATGTGACTTCTAGACATCATGACTTATAGACAGGAATGATTACCACCATAAATTGAGTAAAATATCCATCATCTCCTGTAGATTCAAGGTTGAGAAATTAGAAAAGAATTGTTTTCCTGGTGGTGAGAGCTCAGTATTTATGTCTTAACATTCATGGATAACATACAGCAGTGTTGATTTATTGTGTGGCACATTAATTAACATGATGCTCCTCCTACTAGAATCCTCACTGTTAGTCACTGGGTTGTACTGCCCCTCTCAGATGGGAGGTCAGATGTTCTCTGGGGTCTCCTTCAGCACCCCCTCACTCAAGGGCTGAGTGATGCTAGTAGTCCTGCTTCCCGTGTGTTTAAAGAACCGTCAGTGAGGGCTCCCTCCTACAAGGCCTGCTCCGCGGGATTTGGGGTCAGGCCCTAGTTGGGAGGGGGCAGCCCTGGGGACCAGGTGAGGGGGCGCTCAGGCCGGGTCCTCTCCTGCGCCTCAGTGTTAGCAGCTACGACAGGGGCCAGACTTACGCCACTGAGTGGTCGGACGATGAGAGCGGGAACCCATTTGGCGGCAATGAGGCCAACGGAGGCTCCAACCCCTTCGACGAGGATGCCAAGGGAGTGCGTGTGCGGGCGCTCTACGACTACGACGGCCAGGAGCAGGACGAGCTCAGCTTCAAGGCCGGTGAGGGGGCGTGCCCGGTGGGCGGGGCCGAAACCTGGGGCTGACCTGTGCCCCCGGGGACAGGACCTGGGGGTGCCCCATGCCCCAGGGACAAGACCTGGGGGTGACCTGTGCCCCGGGGGACAAGACCTGGGGGTGACCCATGCCCTGGGGACAGGACATGGGGGTGACTCGTGTCCCCCGGGGGACAGGACCTGGGGGTGACCCGTGCCCCCCGGGGGACAGGACCTGGGGTGACCCGTGCCCTGGGGACAGGATCTGGGGGTGACCCTTGCCCTGGGGACAGGACCTGGGGGTGACCTGTGCCCAGGGGTCAAGACCTGCGGCTGACCTGTGCCCCGGGGGACAAGACCTGGGGGTGACCCATGCCCTGGGGACAGGACATGGGGGTGACTCGTGCCCCCCGGGGCAGGACCTGGGGGTGCCCAATGCTCCAGGGACAAGACCTGGGGATGCCCCATGCCCCAGGGACAAGACCCGGGGGTGACCCGTGCCCTGGGGACAGGACCTGGGGGTGACCCGTGTCCCCCGGGGGACAGGACCTGGGGGTGACCCGTGCCCCCCGGGGGACAGGACCTGGGGTGACCCGTGCCCCGGGACAAGACCTGGACTGGCGAGCCGGGGCGGGCTCTAAGGATGGCAAGGGGTGGGATCTGGACCTCAGAAGAGGGTGGGGGGAGGGCTGGAACGCGGACTGGGTGGGGAGGGCAGGGGGAGGGATTGGACCAGGGAAATGAAGTAGGAGGCACGGCCTGGGCCTCCGGGTGGAGCTGAGACCCAGATTAGCTGGTGGCTGGGTGTCGAGGTGTGGGTGGGGCTGGTCCCCGGGGCGGGCGCTCGGGCAACAATGCGGGGAGGGGGCGTTGGGGTGGGCCCAGCCTAATCAGAGGGCTTCCGGGGCAGGTGGGCAGGTGGGGGCGGCGGTCCCTTTCCGGCTCCGGTCAATCAGCTTCTCTGTGTCCTCTCCCTCCCTAGGAGACGAGCTCACCAAGCTGGGCGAGGAGGACGAGCAGGGTTGGTGCCGCGGGCGGCTGGACAGCGGGCAGCTGGGCCTCTACCCCGCCAACTACGTGGAGGCCGTCTAGCGGCCCTGCCCCCCAGCTCCTCACCCGCCGCCCCCCTCCCTGCAGCCTCCCGCCCCCGCACCCACTCCCCGCCATAGAGTTCCAGACATATTTTCCGATCAAGCTTTTATTTTTTTAAAAGTCAAAACAGAACAAAACAAAAAATATAAAGAGACGGAGCATTTGCAGGGACGCCTGGAGGCCAGGGTGGTGGGACTTCGGGTGATGGCCCCAGGGCAGGTGAGGGTTTAGGACTTAACCCGACAGCGACATCATCACATCTGCTCTTCAGATCCCACCAAAGAGTCTCCTGCGCCCAGAAGGGTGTCTCCTGGACCCTTCCATCCTCGGTGCCCGCAACCCCACTCCCACCCCGACCCCAGGCTGCCAGCGCCTGCCCCTGGTCTCCCGGCCTGGTTTTCTTGCCCTCTGTCTCCTGCCCCACCCTGCTCCCCTCCCACCACCTACTCTCAGAGGCCTCCTCTGAAGACCCCCAAGAAGGGAGCCACCCCTTTAGTCTTCCACTCTGCCTGGGGGAGTGCCCTTCCCCTAGCCTTGTCCCTGAGGACTGGTGGGGCTGGAGGAGGGATGGTCACCCCCGTCTTCTCCCACAGAGGTTTCCGGGGTCCCTAGACTCAATACAAGAAGAGGGGTTAGCTGGAGTTGCGGACAGTGTCACTGGTGTAGGAGGAGGGGTGAATAGGATTGGGCTCAGGGGAGGGGCTAGGACCCCACTGGGGCCCTTTTCCAGCTGTCGACAGGTTGGGCCCAGTCTCTTCCTCAGAGCCAGACCCCCACTCCAGTCACTAGCAGAGGCCCCATCCCGCTCTCAGGCAGAGGGGAGGGGGCCCCAAAGCCCAGGGCAAAGCCAGCAACAGTAGCAGCCTCCTCCCGTTTCCTGGGGAGGAGGGCATCTTGCCCTCCCTCCCACCCTCTCTCTCTCTCTCTCTCTCTCTCTCTCTCCTCTCCCTCCAAGTACGCTGAAAACTGTAGATCCATCAGGCTAAACTGGCCTCGCCTCCTCCCTCCTCCGCGCCCCTGCTCTGGCCTGCCCAGGGAGACTCCGCGGAGGACCAGGCAGGGAAAGCCTGCGGCCGGCGGGGAGGGCCTTGGGTCTGCGGGGGCCCTGGCCTCCGGAGCAGCACCGTCACGGGGTCTTTCTCCCTCCTCCATCCCCCAACTCCAGCTCTGGCCCCTCGCAGCCCCTCCCACTTGCGGCCCCCATCTCTGCAAGTCTGGGTCTCAGTGAGAGGACTCCCGTGGGCGGGAGGGGGCCGAATGTCTTCCGAGAGCAGCAGCGTCTCCTGAGGTGGGTGAAAGGAGGCCGTGCAGGACTACTGGGTGCTCGTACCAGGGCCCAACCAGCCTCGCCCATAGAATGGGAAGCCGCCCGGGCAGGCCAGGACCCCCAGGAGGGGGAACGACAAAAGCGGAGTCTCTGAGGCCCTGAGACTTCCTGCAGCAGCAGGTGAGGTCGCTGCTCACGGCTGATGCTCCCGCTGAGCCTCGGGCCTGCGGACACCTGGCGTGCTCTGCCCTGGCGGTGCTTGGCCGCCCTGGCCTCCAGGTAACGAGAGCGCAATCCCCGGCCCCTCTGCCACCCTGGGTCTTCTTTTGCTCCCTGCTGCGTTTGCCCAGAGCCCACTCAGGAGGTCCCAGACCCCAGCCTCCAGGTCCTGTACCTAGTCCTGTGGGCACAGAGGACCCTGGCAGAGGCGCTGGGGCGGGCCTCCCTCGGGGCCAGGGGACTCTGGGGGTTTGAGGACCCCAGGGCCCTGCAGACCTTCCCCTTCCAGCACCCCGTTCTCGTCCCTGTCTGCTGCAGCCTGAGGTGTGACCCAGGCCCCTGAGGGCCTGAAGGAGGATTCCAGAAGCCCTCAGGCCTCCAAACCCCCCAACTGAAGCCTCTTCAGCTTCTCCCCCAGGCAGGAATTGGGGTAGGGGGCCTCCGTCCTCTCAAGGCAGGAAGCCCGCCCATTTGCACCCTGGGGCCTGGGCTCGCCTCTCCCTGCCCGCGGCTTCCCGGTGCCCGGGTGGGGCTGTGGCCCTGGCTGGGCCCCAGGCCGGTCCCCCTCCACACTCCAGCTGCCGGCTCCAGGGCGGAGACTCGAAACCTGTTTCCTTCTGAGCAACCACCTCCACGGGCCCACGGGGGACCCCGCTCTCTCATCCCCAGGCCCCTCAGGACCCCAGGGAAGGAAGGTCTCCCACCCGAAGTCCCCCTGAGCCCCACGTGCTGGCGTTGGGCACTCAACACCGAGCGTGGGTGCCCGCACCCACCGCCTCTTGTAGCCTCCCCCCCCCCCCCGCCCACCCCCTTGATGCTGCGCGGGCCTCCCCGCGGGGCTCGGGGCTCGGCGGCGAGTACTGTGTTCTGTCCCCAGTAAAGCCCCGTTTCCGTGGCCCGGCTCTGCAAGGAGCCGGGGCTGCCCCGCCACCCGCCACCCCAGGCTTCCTGACTCCATTAGTCCAACACTTGTGAAACTCCGAGAAGTGCTGTGGTCTCAGCAACGCACCTGTTTTGTACATGATTGTGTAATTTAAAGGTGTATAAATGCAGATATATATATATATAAGTTGTGATTGTACAACTGTGGATAAAATCCAGAACTGTGTCAACCTGGCTGGACGCGTGTCCTCTTGAGTTTTGTGTGTGACTCCGGCTCTTGTGAGTCCTCTAAGTTGGAGTCCGTTGGGGAGACGGTGCCCCAGGGTGCTATCCTGGGGGACCACCAAGGGTGGGGGGCACCGGGGCCCATCCATGCACAGAAGCTCATCCTGGATGCTCTCTGAGGCACCAAGACTGTGGCCTTTAGGGTCCTGGGCACCTGGTGATGTGCACTGACCAGGAGAGCTGGGGCATCTGGGGTCCCAAACTTCGGGTTCAACGGTGAATTTGACTCCCAAGTAGGTTCAGTTTTTGAAGTGAAATTCTAAAAGTGACTTGGGAGGCCTGTGGCTCGTGGCTGTCCACAGTCCCAGGCTCCCTGTGGTGTGATATCAGGTCATGCCACACCTTCCTGCCTGACCTCGGATAGCATTTCTGTGTGGGACTCCTCCGGGGGCCGGACTGCGGCTCTGGGCTCCTAACTCTGTCCCAGCTTCAGCTCCAGGCCCGTCCCCTGCTTCAGCCTCCCCCACTCCATCCAGATGCCCTCTGGGTCAGGCAGGAGTCCCAGGTCGAGTCCCAGTCCTGCCGTCGGTTCACCGTGTCCCGGTCACCACTCTGGGCCTTACCTCCCGTCTGGTTAGCTGTCTCTCTGAGGCCCTTCTGCCCCGACAGCCTGTCAAGGTCCCAACACAAAACCATCATTCAAGGCAAATACACTACAGGCCCGTCGCCCCCCCCACTGCTTTCCCCAGCCTCAGGGCATGCTCATTTGACCTGGGGACATTATCTGCTTCTCCCCCATATTCTTCATCCCCAGACCCACCTCCAGGGACACACCCCTGGTTTGAGTTGAACAGAGGACTCTTCAAATAAAGGCACAAGCTGACCTCATCTCATTTGGACAGCCTGTTCCATGCGGAGCCCTGGAGGCGGGCCCCCCTGAAGACGGTCAGGGAGGAGGACCTAGGCTAGCTGGGGCTCTCACGGGCAGTGTGTGTGCAGGAGGAGAAGGCTTCTGGAGCTTGCTGCCAGCACACGGGGTGTCACCGGATGGGTGTGTGCCTGCCAGGGACGTCTGTGCCTCGTGGCAGATCCACCCAGCAGGGAGCGGCCCCCCCGCCCCCCTGCAGCGCCGGGTGCCATTCTGGAGCAGCTCCAGCTCCCCACTCCTCGCCCTGATCCCCTTCCCCCCTGCTTCCAGCCCCACCCTGAGATCGGAGGCGCTCCAGGCCCTGCTAGGGACCTGAGAGCAGGTGGCTCCAGGGACTCCGGTGGGGGCGGAGGCTGGAGACAAAACCAGTTCAGCAAAGCTGACCTGGGTTCTGGCCAGGGTCCCAGCCCGCCCCCTCCCCAGGGGTGGGCAGACAGCAGGGGCCCAGCGAGGCAGCAGCCTGGGGCAGGCCCCCCACCCCCGCCTCCTCAGGTGCAGTCCCAGCTGACATGCCAAGGTGCTGTTTGCTCACTGCCAGGAGCAAATGTTCTTCCGGAGACAATAAATTGCTGAGGGCACAAGGTGCAGTGCAGGGCAGCATTTAACCCTCGCTGGGCTGGGTGCCGCAGGCTGACTCCCCGTCCTAACTCCCGGGAGGCTAAGCCTTGCAGAGGTCAGAGCGCTGGAGGGGCAGAGGCAAGGAGGGGCAGAGAGGGCCCTGTGCTTGCAGGTTCGGTCCCTGGTTCTGCCACCGATCGGCCGTGTGACTGTGAGCAAGCGCTCAACTGCTCTGAGCCTCAGTTTCCTCAGCTGCAAAGTTGCGGGGTGGGGTAACCTCACAGTTTCTGTTGAGAGTTCCTTGGACTGAGGAGATCCAACCAGTCCATCCTCAAGGAAATCAGCCCTGAATATTCATTGGAAGGATTGATGCTTAAGCTGAAGCTCCAGTACTTCGGCCACCTGATGTGAAGAGCTGACTCATTGGTAAAGACCCTGATGCTGGGCAAGATTGAAGGCAGGAGAAGGGGATGACAGAGGATGAGACGGTTGGATGGCATCACCGACTCAAGGACATGAGTTTGAGCAAGCTCTGGGAGATGGTAGAGGTCAGGGAAGCCTGGCGTGCTGCAGTCCATGGGGTCACAAAGAGTCGGACACGACTGAGCATCTGAACAACAACAAACGGCAAAAAAGCAGTCGAAGCACCTAGTCGGCCCCCAGGACACCCAAGCTGGATGAATAAACGTGAAGCGGGGTGTGAAGAAGCTGAGTGCCTTTGCCCAGGAGAGAGGGTTCCATCTCCCCCAGCTCACAAACCCACTCAGACCCACCCCGCTCCCACCATGAGCTCTGGCCGCTGACACCCCGCTCACAGGGCTCAGTACCCCTGAGGCCTCAAGAGAGGAACTGCCCCAAGCCAGCCTCTCTTCCCCCGTTCACTGCAGAGCCGGCGTCCCCCGAGGAGGGCTGAAGGCCCCCCTCTCCATGGCACGGCTGCCCGTGCCAGAGCCCCGGGTTGGCCCAGCAGCGGCCAGGTTGTGGGTCCCCTTGCAGGAAGGGCAGCCCTCAGCCCCTCCAGGGGGAGGTCCTGACCCCCGACAGAGCACGAGGACAGAAGGATGCCGCCACCTCTCCAGTCCCGTGGGAGACCCTCCTCAGCCCTTCCAGCCCCTGCTTCCAGCCCACATCAGGTCAGGGGAGACGAGGGCCCCTCCAGCCCCGCATGGGCCTTGAGGACTCCCTGCCTTTCTCCCACTGCTTCCACCCATCAGCTGTCCCTTTCCTGTTAGGCTCCGCTCAGTGCCGCCTTCCCCAGGAAGCCTCCCTTGACCACCCCTGTAACCACAATGACTTGAGTATGGGTGGCTTCCAGGCTGTGCTTCTGGCTCACTGGGACCACATCAGTTCCTTAGGATCTTTATTATCCGTCCCCAGGGCACCCCTGGCTTCCCAGCTCGGGGGTCCAGATGTCTCCTGGCACCATGCCAGGTGCAGTGCTGGATGGGCAGCTGAGGGCACTGGAGGGCAAGTGGCTTGGCCAAGTCACTGCCGTTCCGTTGGCTCTGCTCCGGAGCGCCTGGGGTCAGAGGGTGCAATGGAGCGGGGGGACAGCCCTGCCTCCCTCTGTCCTCCAATGGGCTGGCCGTGGAGCAGTCAGGCCTGAGGGGGAAGCAGCACCCCCCCACCCTGGGACTCTCTTCCCAGAGAGCTCACTGACATCTCTGGGAGTGGCGGGCCATCCCCTCCCTGACCTTGAACTCTGGATGCCAGCAGACTGCCCTCTTTCCCAGCTCTGGGTCTGGCCGAGGCAGGGCAAGCAGGAGGGAGGTCTGGCGAGGGCAACTTTCAGGCCCGGGACCCGGCGGCCGTGCTCAGATGGGGTGCACGAACTGGTAGACCAGACGCTGGGAGATGTCGGGCTTGCGGATGATGCCCTTCTTGTAATACTGGCGGATGGAGCGGCTCAGCTTGTCGTAGTTCATGGCGGGGCGGTTCTTGCGGATGCCCCACAGCCGGGCCACCTGCGCGGAGTCCTCGATTTTGAAGATGCCTGGGGCAGTGGGGGGCCCAGGGAAAGCCAGCAGAGCAGGAGGGAGAGAGACCAAGACCAGCAGATCAGCCTCGCAGAGTCAGAGGAGGCGGGGTCGCCCCGGGGCCAGGCCAGGCTGTGGGGCCAGGGCTGTGCTGAGGGTTAAATCAACACGTGGGGAGGTGTAGCCCAGGGCCCGGGAAGTGGGGGATCCTACTGTGGACTCACAGACCTCCTGGGTGCAGGGTGAGCCTGCGGTGGGTGACTCTGGGCCTTGAAGGCCTGGCCCTTGCCAGCGCCAGCTCCTAAACACCCCGCACTGAAGCCCCGTGGGGGGCTCCAGGCTGAGGACACGGCTCGTTTTGCAAGGTCACCTGTGCAGTTCCCCAGCCTGTAAGACCTCTGTGGGGTTTGAAGCCACCTCGGCCCACACAGCCCTTTCTGGCAGGATGAACTGGTAAGAGACGGTGGAAAGAGTGGATTTGGAATCAAGCCCACCTGTGTTGGAATCCTGGCTCGGCTGTTTTCCAGCTTTAGAAGCTGAGACCCGCTTTTTCTGGCCAGTTAGAGGGGTTTGTGGTGACCACTGTCTTGGTGAGCACAGAAAGTCCTTGGAGCGGAGCCCGGGGGGAGGGGCTGTTACTCACCGCCATCCCCAGTTCTCTGTCTGAGTCACCTGCCAAAACCCAGGCCAGCACACTCTCTCCAGGCAGGCTTCCCAGATCACCCCGCCTCCCCCGATCTCCCTGTCCTCTGTTGTGGGACGGCCTCCCTGGGGGACCGGCTCACTCTGTCTCAGACCCACACACGAGATCGCCGCAGCTCGTGCAGGAACGTCCCCACCCCTCCTAAGCCCTTTCCTGCCTGAGCTCCACACGCAGCCCCAGAGATGCTCCTCTCTGAGGTCCTCCTCAACCTGGGCACAGCTGGTCCCATCACAGCCAGATGCGCTCCGCACACGAGCTCATTTCACTGCTGGTTTTCCTACCAGACTGTAGGTCCCTAGAGGATGGGGTGTCGCGGAATCCTCCCCGCAGCATCCTCCCCGCAGCTCCAGGACACTATAGTCCTCCATAAACATTGGCTGAGCAAGTGTGGAACCAGAGGAAGTGCTCAACGAAGCTTTGCTGGATAATGAATCTAGTGTGCTTCACAAAGACTGGAGTCCAGGTATCCATAGCTACTAATGGCAGAATGGGACCTAGAACCCAGGTTTAATGGCTCTGGACATTTTCCAAAACACACACCCGCACACCATCCAGCCCTGTGCTGTCCAGGGCAGTCACTACTAGCCACCTGTGGCTGTGAGTCCTTGAAAAGTAGCCAGTCTGAACTGAGATGCAGTGTAAGCATGAAATACACACCAGATTTGAAAGACTTAGTAAAGCATCTCATTAATAATTTTGCAGCAATTATATGTTGAGATTAGAAGAATGTATAATATTGGATTAGATAGATGTACTACTAAAATTAAATGTACCTGTTTTTAAGCATTTTAAACTGTGGCTACTTGAACAACTAACACCGCCTGTGTGGTTTGCTCTGTACTTCTCTCGGGACACCACTGGCTTCGTCAGTGCAGCTCTGATGCTTTGACATAGAGACTATGTCCCGTTCTCATCAGAGTTGTACGGCCCTGCTATGTGCCGGGCACGTGGCCGCTGGGGACCCTCAGCAGGCAGAGCCTGGTGGGGGACAGGTGTGGACACAGATTGCACAGACCCCGGGCTGGTCCAGTGAGAGTGAGTGTGTGGTATTCAAGACAAAGGTGGGGGCGTTGCAGCCCCCTGCCCAGCGCCTGGCAGGACCGCAGCTCCCACCCCCTGCCTCGCAGCCCCCCGTCCTGCCCCCAGCACCACTCACCCTTCTCCTTGTTGAGCCACCGGATGAAGCGGCCATAGCTATGCGGCTTCAGCAGCAGCTCCTTGAGAAACTGCCAGAGGTGGATGGGCTGCCCGGAGCAGGACGAATCCACCTCGCTGTCAGTCCAGCTCTCCTCGCCGGTCGAGGCTGGGAGGCCAGGAGGTGGTGGTGAGCGGGGAGCCCTGGTCTTCAGCGGCCGCCACCCCGTCGCCCCCCCAGACCCGGAGCGCTGGCCGCCCGCCTCCCTGCCCTGTCCGACTCACCGCAGAAGTGAATCGCCCCCGGGGACGTCCTCTCTTTCATCCAGGCAGCTGCGGGGCAAGGAGAGGAAGTTGGGACCCCAGAGAGACGGCCCCCCAAAGGAGGAGGAGGGCGTTTGGGTGGAACTGTGGGGTCACAGAAGCCCACCTCCCCCCCTACCCAGTGGCTCTCTTCCTCCTGCCAATCTGGGAGACAAGCTGCTTAGAGCTGCTTCCTGGAAGAAAGTTTAGGATTTGGCAGCTGAGAGGGGCCTTCGGCGTGCGGCCCCTGGTTCAGAGAGGAGAGCGCATGTTGAGCCGTGCTGGTCACCTGTGAAACAGGCCTGGGACTCCCCCTCACAGGTCTTGCACGGATGAGTGGTGATGAGGTCTGCACAGCATCCCTCTCAGAATCCAGCATAACAAAAACACGCCCTGCCCTCCGGCTGCCAAGCTCCCCGCACCCCTCCACCCCCTCCAGCTCCCCACCTGCCTCCTTCCCCTGAAAAAGCAGTGGGAGGCGGAGGCAGCCGCCTTCTGCCTACGCCACCACCCGGCTCTCAGTCTGGCACTGCCCACTGCTCTCGCCAGCCCCTGGCAAGAGGCCTGGGCTGGGGGCTGGACACTGGTCTCTGATCGGACCATGAGAGTGGGACCTGTCCCCTCATTCATCCTGGGCCCCAAGGGGCAGGGCTGTGACTCAGGGAGCAGGGGACACAGGTTTGATCCCTGGTTTGGGAAGATCCCACGTGCTGCAGGGCAGCTAAACTCATGTATCACAGCTACTGAGCCTGCGTGCCCTCGAGCCCGTGCCCTGCAACGAAGAGTAGCCCCACTCGCCACAACGAGAGAAAGCCCACTGGCAGCAGGGACAACCTAGGGCAACAACAACAACAAAAATTAATAAAAACAAATAAATTTTAAAAAAGGGAATTAATTCCCTGGCAGTCCAGTGGTTAGAGCTCTGTGCTTTTGCTGCCAAGGGCCTGGGTTCAATCCCTGGATGCAGAACTGAGATCCCAAAAGCCATGTAGTCACGCAATAAAAAAAAAAAAAAGATTAAAAATAGGTGCACTGTACAAACAACGAAGGGGAACAAGGTCCAAGACACACTGTCCAGTACAAAACAGCATGATGCTCATCCTAGTTGTGTTAGGAAAGGGTAGAAGTCACACTTACTCTTGCTTGTATATGCATAGACTTCCTTGGCAAGGTACCCAAGAAACGGGCAACAGTGGTTGCCTCGAGGGAGGGGGATTGGGGGCCAGGGGAGGGAAGTGGGAGCGGTACCCCCCAAGGTATACTGTGGTTCACAACAGTTTGTTTTTGAAAAAAATTCTGTACATTTATTGCCTTATTTCTGCTTTAATGATGTACAATACAAAACAAACACAAAATTTTTACAAGGACTAGGAAGGAGGACTTGGGAGGATCAAATGTCCTGCGTCCTCACAGTCTACCGTATACTTTTAACTTGCCGCGTGCTCTGTCCTAGGTTCTGCGGCCTTGATCAGGGTAGGCAGAGGGTTGGGGCTGGAGGGCTCACCCAGGATCCAGGGAGGCAGTGGTCTGTGGGGCCGGGATTCAGAACGGAACCCAGGTGGGCATAAGGGGCTGCTTCCCCCGTAACCCGCGGGCAGGCATCCTGGCCTAACTTCTCCCCTGATGGCCTGGGCTTGGAGCCTGGGGGTGGGGCGGGGGGGTGCTCCACCGACCTGATTTCCAGATGTCCAGATGGGCGTGCAGCACGTCCCCGCCAAGGGGCGAACGCTGGCGGAACTGCTCCTCCGACATGGCACACAGCTCCTTGCCCCCCAGCTCCTGGAAGGCCTTGCCCACGGGGGGCAATCGGTACTGGTGTTCCGTCCACAGGAGCCACTTCTGCACGTTGCCGGGGCTCCAGTCCACGGGGTCTGAGCGGGAGACACTCTTTCAGCCCCGGACTCTGCTTGAAGGCACTGCCCCGGGGGGGTCCCCTCTGCCCTGATGGAGCCCCTGTGGGAATCTATGTTCTCCCGGAACAGCCTCCAGGCCAGACAGAGGCTTGAGGGTTTTTTTGGAGGTGGGTACCCAAGAAGAGAGGAGATGAGGGGAAGGATCCAGGGCCCTGAAAGCAAACATGGCTCAGGGCAGGGGAGCCTGGAGCTTCTGTACCTCCATCTCACCTGGACCTCAGCTCCTCCCATGCCCCCCCAGCCCCTCCAAAGGGCCCTTTGGGGAGCCCCAGCGCTGGAGGGGACAGTGACACGATACCAGAGACACCCCAGCTTCTTCCTTTCCCAGATTCCTCTCGCCTGCCCAAAACCCTCAGAGGACCAGAGAAAAACCCAACCAGGGATCGGCCCCACCCGTCACCGAGGAGGAAACAAGACACAGAGGGGGCTCCCTCCCCGCGTCCAGCACCCAACGAAGGGCTGGCCATCAGGGCGCCGCTCAGCACACATGCTCTGTGGGCAAAGGGCAGGGCAGGGGGTGCTCGCGGGACCGAGGCCCAGGGGGGCGTCCCTGGCTGGGCTCCAGTCGTCTCTCTGGGGAGCCGCCCTGGGGTGAACCCAGCTGCGGGCTCGGACACAATGGGGCCTCCAAGTGACGTCAGGCTCTCAGGGGGTGACCTGCAGACCGACCTGCCCCTACCTAATAAACCCATTTTCCTCCCCAGGGTCAAAGCCATTTGTTTCTGTCCCTATTGTTCACAGGGCAGGGCCCTCCCCAGCCCGGGGCAGGAGCGGGGGCACCGTGGGAAAGCCTCCGGGGTGCTGGCTGGCTGTGGCATTTGGCCACTGGGGGATGGGGCCCTGAGCAGGGGCTGCCTCAAGGGGGGCCCCAGCTGAGACTACTGGGGGGCAGGGTCTGGGCCCAGATGACTCTGGGGAGGAGGAGTCGGGCCTGAGGACCTTTCCTGTGTGGGAGGCTCAGACACCTCGAAGGCCAAAGAGATGCATCAGCCGCTCCCAAAGCTGGAGAGGCGCTGGCGGGACCGGTAGGGGCCCCAGCAGCCCCTCAACCGGCAGCATCAGCTCCGCAACCACACCCTCCAGGCCCCGGACACACACGCGCCTTACCTCCTGATGGCTCTCCTCCTCAGAGCCCTCACCCCCACCGGACCAGAGACACATTGATCTATTTATCTATGATCTGTTTCGTCACTGTAATGTCAGCTTCATGAGCAGAGGAGCCTTTCTGCTGTGTCCACGCTGAATCCCTCATATAAGGGATAAGGGTATATTAGGTGACTGTGTTGAGCATCTATTAAGTACCAGGTACCATCCCAGGAGCTGGGGATGTGTGTGCAACCCCATGGACTGTAACCTGTCAGGCTCCTCTGTCCATGGGGATTCTCCAGGCAAGAGTACTGGAGTGGGGTTGCCTTGCCCTCCTCCAGGGGATCTTCCCGACCCAGGGATGGAACTGGCATCTCCTGAATTGGTAGGCATTCTTTACCACTGAGCCACAGGGAAAGCAGGAGCTAGTGACGTAGCAGTGAACGAAATAAGTGAAAATCCCTGCCCTCGGGGCATGTACCTTCCAGTGAGGGAGACAGTCCGGGAACAAGATAAACATGCAGCAAATCAGACGGTAGGAACCACGAGAGAAATAGAGCAGGTTGGAAGAACAGGAGGGCAGCAGTTTCAGTAGAAGGGTCAGGAAAGGCCTCATCGAGGTGGCACCATTTGAGTCAAGGCCTGAAGGAGGTGAGGGGTGAGCCAAGTAGATATTTGAGGGAAGAGCATTCTGTGATGAGGAACTAGCAAGTCCAAAGGTCCTGGGGTGTGAGTGTTGTGGGGAAGGCAAAGAGGCAGGAGAGTCTGGAGCAGAACAGGCCGGGGACTGTGCACTGACGTGTGAGAGCAGGAGGTGGGCCAGATGGCGCAGAGCTCGTATTCATTCACCCGGTGCCTGCCACGTGGGGACACCAGGCTGGCACGGCCGGGGCTCAGAGAGGCTGAGAACCTTGGCTCCCAGGCTCGCCACTGCTGCGTTAGGGACTGGCTGCACGCGGAGGAGCACCAGCATCTCTGGGGATGACCACGGTGTGCCAGGCGGCACCCTCGTCCCTCCCGGTGGCCGCTGCTGGCAGAGGAGGGGCTCACCTGCCGTGATGTTGAGCAGCTTGCAGGCCGTCTCGATGTCCTTGAGCACCTCGCCCACCACCATGGACTGCACCTGCTCCAGCGAGTGCTCCTCCAGGGTCAGCCCGCCCGGGGCCAGGTCCAGGCTGCCCCCCGGGGCTTGGCTGTCGATGACCGGGCATTGCTCCGGCTCGTCAGGCGGCTCCTCCCGCGCGCTGGCCCCGGGGCCCTTGACCGCCCAGCTGCTATCCTCGGGGTACAGCATGTCAAAGTAGGAGAGGTAGAAGGTGGGCAGGCCCTGCTCGGGGGTGGCAGGCGGGCTGGGGCTCCAGTCCCGCCGCTCAGGCCCCGTGCCCCCCGCGGCCGCCTTCTCCAGGCTTGTCCGCAGCGCGCTGTCTGGGGGCAGCAGAAGGCGGCCGGGCAGCCCGGGGCTCAGGCCTGGGCTGGCGCTGCCCATGCTGCTCGGGCTGGCGGCTGTGTCTACAGAAACAGAACAGGAGGGAGAGTCAGGCCCCGGTTGCTTCCCTGTCCCCGTGGGGGCCGCTAAGCTGGTTATGGAGATGAGGAGCCCAGTGGGCAGCGGCTGGGCCTGGGAGAGAGCCGGGGCTTCCGGGTCACTGGGCAGCTAAGACAGGGCTGGGCAGATGGGCCCTGTGGCTGGGACGGGACGTGCAGAGCTGCAAACAGGCGGCTCCCTCGCTCCCCAAGGAAGTCGGGGTGCTGGGAGCAGTGTATTTTTATACAAGTAACCTGTTTAAAACAATCTCCTGAAGTGCTCGATCACATTTGGTCCTCACAAAGGAAGGCCCAATTAGTTCCATTTGGCAGATGAGCAAACTGGGGCCTGGACAAGGTGGCCAGCCCCCTCCCAGATCCCAATCTGCTGTCCTGTCGATGAAGCTCCTTCTGTGGTGGTGGTGGTGGTTTGGTTGCTAAGTCGTGTCTGACTCTTTGCAATCCCATGGTCTGTAGCCTACCAGGCTCCTCTGTCCATGGGATTCTCCAGGCAAGGATACTGGAGTGGGTTGCCATTTCCTTCTCCAGGGGATCTTCCCAGCCCAGGAATCAAACCTTAGTCTTCTGCACTGCAGGCAGATTCCTAATCTTTTCTGCTGGGACAAAGCTTGTTTGTTTTTGTTCTGCCCTTGAAGAGGGTAGGGAAGGGAAAAGGTCACCATGATCTCCCATGGGCCAGGTGAAGACAGACGGAGCAAGTGAGGGTGTGGCAGGGAGAAGCCCCTCCTAGGTCAGGCAGGCGGCCCCCTGCCCCTCACACAGGGCCGCTTTTGTGAGCTTAGTCTGACTCTTTGTGACCCCATGGACTGTAGCCCGCCCGGCTCCTCTGTCCATGGGATTCTCTAGGCAAGAATACCGGCGAATTCTTGACCCAGAGATTGAACCCTGGTCTCCTGCATTGCAGGCGTATTCTTTACCACTGGGCCACCAGGGAAGCCCCAAGTTGTGCTGGGAGTATGGATAAACTCTCAGCCCAACGTTGCTGAGGTGGCCACCCAGCAACACTCCCACTCAGGGCCAGGCTCCTGCTACCCGCCCCACCTGAAAGATGCTGCCACGGCCTCTCCCAGCTCCCGGGGCCCTCTCCTCTCCCCTCACGCCTTGAAGGACCTCGCAGCTCCCTAGGTGGGAGGTGCCCACGTGCACGTTTCTGTGGACCCACACACCCCAGTTTCCTCACAGCTGCAGGGGCTGGAGAGAAGGCCGAGGCCCAAGGGGACAAATGAGGCCCTCAGCAAGCCCACTCCCCCCGGCCCCCCAAGGCCACCCAGGGGGCACTGTTTGGCCTCAACGCAAAGACCCAGAGGCCTCCCTCCCCATCGGTCCCCAGGCTCTGCTGCCCCGGACCCTTTCCTCTGAGCCCCATATTGGAGGTTTGGGTGAGGCAGGGGACCTGCAATGTGTACGTACAGCAAAGAACTGGGGTCCCTGGGATACTTCTGTGACTTGAGAGTCAAGAATACATCAGGACAGATGTGGGAGATGACCAACAAATACATGCTCCCTGTAACACAGTGGGTCATCCTCAAAGGTAGAAAGGAGCAGATAAACCTGATAAGGGCAAGTTCATATGTGTCCTTTCTTGGGGGTATTTATACTTTATACAGTGTTCTCAAAATGTGCCCGCATCCGCAGCATCAGCACCACTCATGAGGAACTCGTATTTCAGGCCCACATCAGAGCTACTGAATCAGAAGCTCAGGGGTGGGGAGGAAGGCCCAGCAAGGCATTTCTTTTCTTTTTTTCTGGCCACGCCTCACGCTTGTGGAAACTTAGTTCCTTGACCAGGGATTGAACCTGTACCCGCTATAGTGGAAGTTCAGAGTCCTCACCGCTGGATTGCCAGGGAATTCCCAGCAATGAGTCTCAACAGGCCCTTTGATTGTGATGGGGGTTCAAGTTTGAGAACTGGCTTTGAGGCACCTGGCCAGCATGAGGGGGAGGATTTACTAGAAGCCCTGTAGACCTGCTTGGCCACAATGTGCAGGTGGGATAGAGAAAGAGCCCCGCTTGGAAGGTTCAGGCTTCTATACCCAGGGCTGCAGCTAGTGCAGCTGCATGCAACTCAGAAAATAATGCCCTTTCCTCTCTGGGCAGTGCGGCTTGGCTAGTGGAGCCCAAGTGGAACTTCAGCTTCCCCTTGTCCCTTACCCTTGTGCAGTACCCAACCTGCCCAACCTGACTTGGCAGCTCTGCTCTTCCTGTGGCACAGAGAATGCCAGCAAGAAAGAAAGGTGTTCCCTTTCATTTCAAGTCTCCCTTTGAAGTTCCTTTAAGTGAAAAGGAAGGAAAGTTTGGGGTGGGGTGGGCAGGGATGGGGGGGCTGGGACTGAGGGGGACAGAGGGCAGGCTTGGAATTATTTCAAGTCCTTCTGTGCAAACACACGTGTGTGCTGTGAGCCCATGTTATTTACCCAGGCAGAGCCAACAACCCTCTCTGCCCTGGGTCCCCACCCCGGCCTGTGCCCACACCCTACCCCCCGGGGAGCCCCACCCCTGGAGAGCCCCCTCAACCCCACCCTTCCCTCATCACCCCGCCCCATCCACGTCCCCAGATCTCCCCGACCTGCCACGTTAGGACAGTCCCTGCCAACACCTTGGGCCGTGTGCCAGGGAGACGGAACCTTTTCCAACAGGCAGGAGAAATTGCCTCCCTCACGGCCTTCCTGTTTGCTTGGCCTCAGTCACAGGTAGGATGGGGCACAGTGGCGCGAGGGGTCAGTGAGGATGAATGGCTAGGGCGTAGGGGTTAGCATTGGCCAGGTGAGGACATGACGACACATCCCTGACACATTGGTCAAGCGACTTCGGGGGCCCTCGCTTTCGCCCCCTTCCCAAGGGAGCCTTAGTGCTCATCCCTGCGCTGTGACGGTGCAGAGAACCGAACGACTCAGATGCAGGTCTTCCGGCTCCTGGCCGGGGGATCCTTCACCAGCAGAGACCTCCGGCCTTCTCCTCCACACCCCACATTCCAGCTCCCCCCGCCCCCGGTCACCTTGCTCCTAAATGCCAAGGAACCTGCTCTCAACCAAGGCTTGGTCCCAGCTCCAACACCTCCCTGGTGAAAAAGAAGTTAACGATTAACCATGCGGCAGGAGGAAAGAGCCCACGGCCTGCAGGTGGGACGCAGTGTGGAAGGCTGAGCCCAGCCCAGGGGACTTGGGTTTTCTGGTCAATGAGCCAGGGGCTGGTGTGTCCAGCCGGCAACTCTGGCGTCTTCTCCAGGCTCTAGGGCTGGACCCGGGAGGGCAGAGAATGCACATGGAGTACCTCTTATGCCCAGAGCATGTGTACACGCTACCCTCTGACTACCCACAGGGGCTCAGGCACCTGCTTTGTGGATGTGGACAGTAAGGCTCAGAGAGGCCATGCAGCTTGCCTGAGGGCCCCAGCTGGCCTTGGGCGGTCTCTGCTCTTGTACCACGTGCCCTCTGAGGCTCCTGCTCTGGCTGGTCCCATCTCCCCAGGGCCCTGCCCACCTCCTGATTGGCCAGCTTGGTCTTCCAGAGTCCATTCCTGCCTCCTATCCGCTCACTCCACTGCATGATCAAGCTCATTTCCCTCCAACACCCTTTTATCGGGCAGTCCTGGGCTCTCGAACCTCCCATGGCTCCCCACCGCCTGCCCTGCCTGATCCCAGGGGCTGGTGCCCACCTCTGAGCGCTAGAGCTCAGAGCCCAGAGAGGGAAACAGATTTATTCACTGGTTAGGGGCAGGGTCTGGAGCAAAGCACATATCCAGGCTCTGATGGGAACGGTGTTTCTCCCTCAGACCCTGAGCTGTGGGCGTGACACGGCTATTTTCTCTTGTTTTCATCATCCCCCTGTCCACAATGCCCCTCCCTTCTCATCACAGTTCAGCCCAAAGTCCTCCGTGGCCGCTCCCTCCTCTGACTTTTCAGCTCTCCCCGTCTGTGCAGTTCAGCCATGAGTACGTTCGTGGGTGATGGTCTCCGCATGGGGACACTGGGAAAATGAGGCTCAGAGAATGGCCAGGCGGTGTCGGTAGTCACACAGCAGTGCCCGGATCACTGCACCCTGGGTCCTGCGACAAATCCGGGCTCTGCCGGGTCCCGCTCCCTCCTGAAAGCCCAGGCCCCAGGGGCTGCCCGTCTCCTGAGCAATGCCTCCAGCTCCCAAACCTCGAGCTGATCTTTTCTGGATTAAGGCTCAGCGTGTCCTGGTTCCCTCTTGCCCAAGAGGCACTGGCTCTGACTCCAGACAAAGAAGTTTGGTAACAGCTGGTGGAGGCCAAGGCCCAGAGACAGGGCAGACTCATGCGGCTGCAGCCAGAGGGATTACCACCTTGGCCCCTTCTTCCCGCACCTTGTGGTCCCCCAGGAAGACAGAGAGGGGGCAGTGGGCAGGGGGACCCAAAGTTAGAGATTTATGGCCGCTGTTTCCAGCCCCTCGTGGCCACCCGGACATTAGAAAGATGCTCAGACAGCTCCCGAAACCACAGCCCCAGGGAGTCACCGGGAGGTCTTTACTGAGGCCCTGGGCTGTCATGAGGGTGGAGTCTGTCTCTCACAGTCTGCTCAGATCTTACTCCCAGTGGGGTTGTGGGGTGGGGGCGGTAAATATGCCTCGAGCCCCCACCTCAATCCTGAGACACAACCTTAGTCTGCCCAGGGCCCAGGACTGCAGGCCCTGGGAGGAGAGGGGAGGGGCTGGGGCAAGGTGTGACAGGCCTGCCACTCGGCCCAGAGTCTCCTCACTCCAGCATCTGGGGTTTCCCCACCAGTGGCGGCCCTTCCCTCCCTCCATTCCAACCTCTGGGTCCACATGAATGGGTCGGAATGAGGGGGCTTCGGGGGTGCAGCCCCTGGGAGCCATGCAGAGTGGGCAGGGGCCACATGGGCCTGTCCCCTCAACTCGCAGGCAGTCGGTCAGCACCTTGGAGAGAAGCCGGGCCTACCCAGGCCAGTGCTCAGGGCCCGCCTGCTGCCGTCTGAAGCCTCCCTGCCCCTGGCCTCAGTCTTCGTGCTCCCCTAGAAGACAGGCCCTTCCTGCCCTGCCCACTGCCCCCGCCCAGCCCCCTCACTGCTCCTGGGACAGCTGCTACACTCCTAGGAAAATGCAGCTCCCCTGCCCTCCGAGACTGCTCTTCAAACCAGCTAGATCCAGGGACTTCTCTGGTGATCCAGTTGCTAGGATTCCAGGCTTTCACTGCTGAGGGCACAGGTTTGATTCCCGGTCAGGGAACTAAGATACCGCAAGCTGCACAGTGCAGCCAACATAAAGAAAAGAAAGGAATGAGCTGGAAGCAACTAGCAGAAGCAAAACTTCGACTTGGGGAGATTTAACTTGGGGAGCCAGTCCTCAGGCCTAGGGAGACTTGGGAGTGGGGTCAGGGCCAAGCAGCAGGAGGATGGGGGGCAGGAAACGAAAAGAGTCGGGGGACACCAGGGAATTGTGATCGGCTCAGATGGTAAAAGTGTCTGCTTGCAATGCAGGAGATCTGGGTTCGATTGGGAAGGCGGTCGACTGAAGGGTCGGGAAGATCCCCCGGAGAAGGAGATGGCAACCCACTCCAGTATTCTTGCCTGGAGAATCCCATGGACAGAGAGGAGCCTGGCGGCTTGCAGTCCACGGGGTCGCAGAGAGCGACTTCGCTTTCTGCGTTGCCCGCTGTTCCCGTGGGCAGCCAGGAGCCCAAGGCATGAGTACGTACCAGCACCCCCTCCCAGTCGCTCCTGCGTGTGGCTATATTAGGCATCCACTTCCTGCACCCCCCCCCCCCCCCCCCCCCCGCCCCCAGGTCTCCTCCGGCAGCCAGGATTATTCCCACCTGACAGGCAGGGGTGGTGAGTGCCTGGGGCATGTGTCCATGGTGACCGGGCAGGGACTGGGAGTCAAGGGTGAGCTCCGCCCTCTTTCTAGCTGAAGTCTTGGCACCTTCCGACTTCTAGGGTCACTCCTGTTGCCTCGCTCAGGCTACCTGCAGGGCCAGCCCCATGGAAGTCACACTGGGGCGTCTGGGTGGCATGGATGCCTGAAGCCTGCAGGTACAGGGACCCCCCTCAGCCCCAAGCTCACCCCTGTATTCAAGTTTGCTCCAAAGGGGTGGGAGGCCTGGAAGGAACTCAAGGCCTCAGCATCTGGAGGTGTGGGTTCATAATCTGCTGTTTCCACTGTATCTGAGGCCCTGGGCAGTCCCTGGCCTCCTCGGCCTCAGTCTCATCCTCTGTTCTTCCAGGAGATAAGTCAGCTCCCAGAGCTTTTCTGGCCCAGACACTGTCTGGAGTCTGTGACCCCATGACCTCCATCGTGCCCGCCAGGCTGACTTGGGTTGGACATCAGAGGCAGGAAGAACTGGTCCCAGCAGCCCTCAGGCCAACTCGCTGCCCCGAGAGCAGAGACCTGGGCCCCACCCCTGCCTAACCCAGGCGGTCACCCCCAGACCCCTGTCCTCAATCCCAGAGCTGGAGCGAGAAGGAAGGGCCCCTTGGATTCTGGCGGTCCCAGAAGGACCTCATCAGCCCTTCCTATAGCCCAGGGAGGGCGCTGGCCCATCTGACTCC